TAAAGATTATTCATTAGATTCGAATCTGTATTTTCTTTCTGAAATCCGACGAGGTATTCCGATTTCCAGCATATGAGGAGCGCATCCAAGCTCTTGTCTCCCCATCCTATTCCCCGCCCGTCATCCGCCGGGCTCTTCTTCTCCCGCTGCAAATCCTCCCTGCGACACCCACCCTTAGCCTCCCCTCCTTCCCTTTATCAAATCATTACAGAGATTTTTCCAATTCAAAACAGGGACACGCAAGATGTTTGTCAAAATGTCCCAGCAAGTAATAGCACTTTTCAAACCATTGAAAGAGGAAAGACACGACTGAATGCATGCGCATTGGAAGAAATTAGCTCAGTCGTTCAAAAGGTAACTGAAATAATCCGGTCAGATAACCAGATTCCCTTGGAGCTGCGCTTGAATGAATTGAGAATTGTATTCACTCCTGAGATTGTGGATATGGTGCTGAAGAGGTGCTTCAAAGTAGGCAGTATAGCTCTTAGATTCTTCCACTGGATAAAGCTGCAGCCTGGATTTTGCCACACAACAGAGACTTACAACACCATGGCTTACATTGCAGGTGAAGCTGGTGAATTTGATTTGATGGAGAAGCTGATGGAGGATATGGATGCTGACTTGTGTTTGAAGAACATTAAGACGTGGACAATTCTTATTTCGCATTATGCAAATGCGAAGAAGATTGGTAAAGCTCTGTGGACGTTTGAGGAAATGAGGAAATCTGGATGCAAGATTGATAATAGCGTTTATGAAGCAATTCTTAGGGGGCTTTTCAGTACCAGGAAGGCAGAACTAGCATTTGAGTTCTACAAAGAGATGGTTTTGAAGAAACTGAAAGTTGATATTAAGATTTATGCAATGCTAATGGATTGTCTGTCTATTGCTGGTGATATTGGCAATGTAAGGTTGGTTGCAGAAGATATGATAAAGATTGCAGAGCTCCCGGAAACTGAAGTGTTTACAATCATGATGAGGAGCTTTTGCATTTCTGGGAATGTGGATGAAGCCCAGAAGTTGTTTGAGGAGATGACGGCGAGAAATATGTCTATTGATTCAAATGTTTATGAGGTGTTAGTGAAAGGCTTGTGTAGAGCTGGAAGGATGGATGAAGCCATGGAGATTGTGGGTGATATGAAGCATATTTTGAATGCTGGTAATAGGATTTATGGGTGTTTAATTGATGGATTTTTGAGAAAAGGTAAAGTTCGGAAAGCCTTGGAACTGTTGCATGGTATGCAAGAACATGGCTGTTTACCAATGGTTTCCTCTTATACTCAAGTTCTCCAACATCTTTTCAGATTAGATCAATATGGAAAAGCTTGTCAGATATATGAGGAAATGTTGGAGAATGGCATTGAGTCTGATATTGTGGCAACCACAGCATTGGTTGCTGGTCATGTCCAACATAACAACATCTCTAAAGCATGGAGCGTTTTCAATGACATGAAAAGTAAAGGCATGATGCCTACTTGGAAGGCGTATTCGGTTTTCATTAAAGAACTTTGCAAAGCTTCAAAACCCAATGAAGCTTTTAAGCTACTAATTGAAATGTCTGCTTGTAAGATAAATCCAACTGATCATATTCTCAGGCTGGTTATCAGTTCCTTAACTAGAAATGGTGAACCGGAGAAAGCAAGAATAGTTGAGCAGCAGTGCAGATCCTTCAAACTCATTCACAGAGAGGGTGAACAATTAAACCATTTAGCTGAGCATCAACCTTTTCGTGAAGGTCGGGAGATTTCAGTCTGTTCGTCTGATCAGAATTTGGTTTGTAGACAGCCACAAAACACATTTGATGTGAACAATGCCGAAGAACTTGTCAGAGTCTTATCGTCATCAACCAATAGTGATCAATTGCTACAAAAACTGGATAGAATTGCAATTACTTTCAAACACATTTGATGTGAACGATGCCGAAGAACTTGTTAGAGTCTTATCCTCATCAACCAATAGTGATCTATTGCTACAAAAACTGGATAGAATTGCAATTACTTTCACACCCGAACTCGTACTGGCAGTTCTGCAAAGATCTCAAATACATGGCTGTGCTGCTTTGCAATTTTTTTCTTGGGTTGGTAAGCAGCCCAATTACAGCCACACCCCTGAAACATATAATATGGCTATCAAAATCTCTGGCAGTGGGAAAGATTTTAAGCATATGAGAAGCCTTTATCAGGAAATGAGGAGAAGGCATTGCTCGATAGAGCCGAATACATGGACAATCATGATATCTAAATATGGCCAAGCTGGTCTTACAGAAATTGCTTTGAATACTTTCAAGGAAATGAAGGCTGAAGGTTATCAACCAAATGGCGCCACCTTCAAGTTTCTGATTATCTTTCTTTGTGGAAAGAAAGGTCGAAAGTTGGATGAGGCAATCAAATTATTCCAACAAATGCTGTCTTCAGGCTTCATGCCAGATAAAGAGATGGTTGATATTTTTCTTTCTGCCTTATGTGAGTCAGGAAAATTTGCAGAAGCAAGAAGAGCAGTTAATTCTTTATGCAGAAGAGGGTTTAAAAACCAGATTGGTTATTCTCTTCTCATCAAGTCTTTATGCAGGGCAGGGAAAGCTGAAGAAGCTGTTAGTCTAACCAATGAACTTGAAAAGCTTGGATGTAAGGTAGATCAGTACATTTATGCAAGCATTGTTCAGGCACTTTTAAGAGATGGCAGATTAGATGCGGCCTTAGATAAGTTGGATGACATGAAAAGAGCTGGAATTCCACAGTCAGTGCAGATAAACACATCATTGATTGCCCATTTTTTCAAGCAGCGGCAGATCAAAAAGGCAATGGAGATATATAAGAAGATGAGAGAAGAAGGTTGTGAGCCAACTGTTATTACGTACTCAGCTTTAATTCGTGGGTACGTGAACATGGGGATGTTCTCAGATGCCTGGAACATCTTCCTTCGTATGAAAGTTAAAGGGCCCTTTCCTGATTTTAAGACTTACTCAATGTTCATGACTTGTCTCTGTAAACAAGGCAGGTCTGAAGATGCATTAAAACTTATTCAAGACATGTTGGAGAGCAAGATCATCCCTAGTGCAATCAATTTTAGGACTGTTTATTATGGATTAAATAGAGAGTGTAAGCAAGATCTAGCTCACATTGTACTTAGGATGAAGTGGAGTTTGAAAAAAGAAAGAATGCATTCAGTATAACAGTACATATTTCATATTTGTGTACATGAATCATTCAATTGCATGGATTAAAATTGAAGCCATCATGTTGAATCCGAAATTGTCGAGGAGGCATGCCTAAGGTATAGAGCATCACAGAGAGGAGAGTAGAGAGAGAGATAGACAGAGACAGTAATGAGTAGTAAAAAATGCATAACCTTTATCCAAGAAATGACCTAGGGGGTATGGAGCTAAGATTGCAAGTATGCCCTCTAATCATTAGTTTCTGTGAGGGTTACTTTAGTGCAAGACACGTGTATCAAATAGACTAGTTAATGTAGGTTCATCTGATTGGTACAATTCTACCAATTGGTGTGTATAGAACTGATTGTCGCATATCAGTCTGCTCAATCAGCTCTAGGCCGATCATCCCACCTTTTAGTTGATCGATCTTCAATTCAATCATACGAGCTTTTTTATGGTTAGAGGTTGATGATCGGTCGGTGAATCCTTCCATCCGCCATCATTATACTTTACCATTGGATTGCCTCGAGATTTGTACTGTCATATTTTTTGTACACATTTAGTTCTCCGATTTCTTTATTTTTAGAAAGTTGTAATGCAAAAAGAAAAAGGAAATATTTTTATGATACAAAAATATAAAAGCATGAATCCAATTAATGATGAAATAACTATTTATAAATGATTTTTCTAGATTTTCGTGCACAAATTGTTATAAATAAACTGTGTAAATACTGTTGTCACAGTTACATATGCTACTACCGTTGCCCCGAGGCCTACAGGACGTAGAACAGTCAAGTCTCCTCTGGGCCCGAGAGTACTGCCTGTTGTTGTTTATGAGGAGCTCCCGAAAAGGAATGTTGGAAAGAGATCGTTTGCCACTGAATTTGGTCTGCACCATAGGGAGCACACTTCCTTTCGACGTACTGATGTCATCACCGAGACACCACGTCTCAAGGCATCAACATCAAGGAAGAAAGTGTGAATACCTAAAGTTGTCGCACCAATACTTTCAGAAAGGTCGGGTGAGCGTGCCCTTGAAATGGATCATAAGTTCAATGCTTCGACCGTTGCCGTTACGACTGTTTCACAGAATTCCATAGACAAGAGCGTTGTTCATGAAAGCCTATCGATCTTATGCTGATTAAAGAGAAAGCAGTCGATGATAAAGTAAGGAAGCTCAGAGCTGAGATTTCAGAATTGGCAAAAGAACGAGGACTAGACATTGGCTATGACATCTGTGTGCTATGCTCCACCTTTTGTCGAGGAGAACGCCATGGATGACTTACAAAGGATCATTCAGTTGAAGGATGAGAAAATCAGCCTGATGTAAAAGAGAATGGAGGAGATGGATGCCACCAAGGCCACCATGGCTAGAGTGCATAGGCAGTTATAGTCATAGCAGATGACATATCCGGAAGTGAACCATCCCGAGATCGTGCACATTACAAATGAAAAGAAAGAAGTCGCTTCCACCAACAAGGATGAACCACAGAAGAAGGATTTATTTCAGAGTTTAATACCGGTAAAGGACATCAAGCGGTTGGTTGAGCAACAAATAAAGGAGGCCTTAGCCCAATCTAAAGGAGGTGCATCAATTTCAAAGGATAGACCTTACTCAGAGGAGTTCGATGTCGTGTCATATCCTAAGGGCTTTGTACAACTGACCTTTAAGACTTTCGATGGATTGAGAAACCCATGACAGCACGTTGCACATTTCCAGGCAAGCTGCAGCTACACGGGGGGTAATGAAGCATCGTTATTCCATCAGTTTCTGAGCAGGCACTCAAAGATCACATTTGACTAGTATGCAGAATTACCCAATGGATCATTCAAGAAATTTGAAGTCTTGGAAAACTTGTTTGTGAAAAGATTTGTCGGAGCAAAAGCACCATTTCACCATAAGAGACCTCATGGTAGAGTAACAGAAGTCTAGAGAGACCTTGGTGGACTACATTTTGAGATGAAGGAACTTGAGAATGAAGTGTGAGCCTAAGCTTCAAGAGCAGCATGCAATCAAGATTCTAGTTAAGAGCATCAATGGTTAAGTAGCCTTCATGCTTAAGGAACTTATGATTAAGTCATTTGAAATGTTACTCAGCAAAGCAAGCAATTTACAAGAAAAAAGTTAAGCATATGGAGTCCTTGAAAAAGGCTGAAAAGTCCAGATCAGCTAAGGTGTTCGAAAAGAAGTCTGGAACAGTGGTAACGGTTGATAAGGGCAAGGAGCTAATGAGGATTTAGGATGAGCGGTTTTGTCAGGATTCCCAGCAGTCATCACAGTGTGGTCAGTCTCAACAGCAGTATGGTCAGCAGTATAGTCAGCCTGGCAAGCAGTTGTTCCAGCAAAGACCATACACGACAAATGGAAGGTAAGGTTTATGGATAGCATACCAGTTGAATAGGGTGTATCCCTTAAAGGAAGAAGCTGTAGCGAAGATGTTCTAGAACTTGATGATAAAGCCTGAGTTCAGATTTCCTGAGCCAAAGAAGCAGAGGAGGTCGACAAGAAGGATCACCCCAACTTTTTCCCTTATCATAGATTACTTGGACATCCCATAGAGAGTTGCTTTAGCTTCAAGGACTGGCTCGTCCTTATCACAGATTACTTGAACATACTGTAGAGGGCTGCTTTAGCTTCAAGGATTGGTACGAGAGAAATTTCAAAAATGGAAATATAAAAATTTCGAAAGAATATTTAAAAGAACCTGAAAAAGGTTCTGTAAATATGATTTTGGCAGAGCCAATTATTTCGATAGATTTGTATGTAGATAAGGGTGGATTGAGCACAGTTTGGAGTAGATCCTCCAAGAAGATATTGGATCAGACTCAGACTGCTTCGGTGCAAGCTGCCGCTCAGATTCTACAGCCTACCAAGCCAACGCTGGAGATTACACTAGAGGAGCCACTACAACGGAAGAAGGAGATCATGGATGAAGTAAGGACTGATAATATGAAGGGTAGGATAGGGGCTACCCTAGTTAGATTTGTTGTCTTAGATTTGGGGGAGAAATTTATCAAATTGCTGACTTTGTACGATTATCTTTTCACCTCTTTGGGTTCTTTTGATTATAAGAGTTGCGATTTCAGCTACATTTTGATTGTTTCGAACGAAAACGTAATTGTCCACAACCAATATAACCCCGATTTCAATTCCCGAAATGATCCTTCAATCATACTAAGGTTTGATGGATATGCTAACAAAAATGAAGAAGATGTCAACAATGCCGGTTACGATAGTGGAGGGAGCGAGGAGTCAGTCCTCAGGTGCTAAAAAACATTGATGGCCATCTACTTGGACTTTTTCGATTCAGAATCAACGTCAGGAGAATCAAACGCAACATCAGGAGGACAACCTCTAGGTTCAACTCAGAAGATGGAAGAGATCACTGAAGTGAATCTGATGAGTGGGAAAGTTTTGCCCCCTATAATGGCTCCAATGGAAAAAGATAAACAAATAATTACTCGAAAAGAGCCACCTTTGCCAATGGAAAACATACATACTTAGGAGAAAACTAGGGGCTCAAATAAAGCAGATTATAACGTACTAGGTTATCTTAAGAATTTGCTCGTCAAGCTAAGCATTTATAATGCTCTAATTCTGTCAAAAGAGATGGGAGAAGAAATGATCAGGCTTCACTTGATCCAAAAATTTACTTAGCGTAGGTTGCTAGCACATCCTTGAATGAAGTCTGTTCATTAAAGGAACAGCCTCGGGTAACCTTCACCGATGAAGACTTGCTACTTGGTACTACTGATCACAATCGACCGCTCTACATTTTCATCAACATCAGCAAATTTGTACTTTCTAGAGTTTTGGTAGAACTATAGGTATCACTCAACTTAATGAGTCTACAAATGTTAACATATTTGGACATTGATGCTCAAGAACTTATCACCGATAGAATGAGGTTAAGAGGATTTAATCAGAAATGAGAAAGAGAGCTTGGATCGATCACGCTACTCATGAAGGTTGGTGAGCAAAAACCACTAAGTTCTATATCATCGACCCATAAACCACCTTCAATGCTTTGCTTGGTCGACCGTTGATTCAAGAGCATAATATGGCCCCATCATGGCCACACCAATGCATCAAGTATTACAAAGAAGGGTAAGAACACTGCATCAAGGGAGACTTACAACCTTTCTCAATACATGAGGTAGGCATCCACGAAAATGCCACCTATTATGCTCCTCCAAAGAAGACTGGCTTTTCTCTAGAATTTGTATCGAATAAGATTGAAGATTCAAAAGGATTGCAAGAAAGGGACCATTTGACTCTGATTCAGTGATCTCTCACCGCTCCTTTGCAACGAGTCGGTGGAGGTTCTCGTAGCCCACACTTCTGAGACCAAGGTTGGGGATGTGGGCTAGGAAGAAGTAGCAGGATTGTTGAACGAAAGATTCTAACCATTAGCATCACATGGAAGGAAACTCTGAAGAAGATAAGTTTGACAAAGATACAATGACAGTAAATAAGAAGAAGCCCTAGTTCGAGATCACCTTGGAGGATACAAAGTAGAGTGAATATTATTTGATGTTTGATCAAATCAACCACTACGTGCAACTTATGAACCTAGCTCCGGTTCACCCCCATAAGGTTAAGAGTCTTGAGGTCAAGGAAGTCTGGAGTGTTGGTTTGAAACCAATCAAATTTTATCGTGCTTCTCCTTCTACTAATTTTGAAACTCATGTAAACTTAGGATAAGATGTTTTTAATGAATTAATGGAATTACTAGTTAGGTATTACTGTCCTTGTTTTCAAAAGATGATTCAACAAGGATATGTGCCGAAGCAAATGCCAAAGGACAAATTACATCTTTTTAAGAAATTATGGAATGTTAAAGGTTAAGCTCTCAACTCAAAATAAGGTGTTGGATTTGGTACGATACGACCAGTTGAAGATTCAAAATACGGTACGGTTGTTACTAGCGGGTTGGAAGAGTACTACCTCGATGTTAAGAATGATTATGAAGATTCTCTGATAGATGACGCTGTGCCAGAATTTGAAGAAGAAATTAAAACAATTGTCGACAATTTATAGGAAGTTAATCTCAGGATTGAGGAGCATCACCGATATACCTTCACAAGTTCTCTACTCAACGAGGAAGAGTTTATAAATTTAATCAAGTTACTGTCAGAATTCAAGGATTGCTTTGCT